TCCAGGCCGAATTTTTTCTCGAATGATCGAAAGCAAAGTGTCCGCCGTTCGATCTTCCACGGCAATAAGAAAAAAATTTTTGGTCCCCCTTTCAATTCCTCCAAATACCCACTGGCCTTCTAGATATCATCCGCGATTGTATTTTCTTTTGCCAATCTTGGCTTCATCGATCTCAACAACTACTCCTTCCCCCTCCAGGTCTTGGGAGTTATTGACTGCCCAAGCTATGAAAACTTCTCGCATAAAAGAGAACCAATTTGTTAAGGTTCTGGTCGACAACCCCGTATCTTGCTGAAGAAACGCACAACGAGGAGGTGACCTCGCAATATAAAGCCATACAAGTTCTACAATTTGTTGAGGCGTCAAGTGCATGTAGAAAAAAAATGATGATGTAAAAGCGGAGATATGTGTTTTGCACTTCCTCTTGTTCCTCTTGTTTTTTTGCTGGCAGCGGAAGGTATGACTAGAGTTCCACTTCAGCACAGCGCCGCAAGTTGGGCAGTTGTAATGGCACGGAAGAACACCATTGCTGTAGAAGAACCGGAATAACGCCTCTTGGGCATCGTGTAAACGATAAAACGATCGCGAAGTGTAGGTACATACCTCACACTGGTTGAACAGGCACTCTCTCTCACCCACTGCATATTTAGCAGGATCACCAGCAGGACCAGCAGCAGCTGAAGTCGAGGGTACGGCGGAAGCCATCTTCTGGTGTCTCAGACTTAGCTCACCAATTCAACACAAAAACAAAACGCGAAAACTAATCACAAACTTCACAGAACTATCTAGTATTCACAAGCAGACACTGCACAAGAATAGTTTTTTCATAAACAGCAAAAACCACAACAACAGTCGAACGTAGTGGAACTTCCAACAGCGAAACAAAGAATGATGCTAATTGTAGCCAAGCCACTCCCATTGTTCTATGAAGAAATATCTGCACCAATCAAGAAATTGGATTTTCGCGGCTTTTTGTAGAAAATTGCAAATAACGTCTTATTAAACATAAAATGCATTTTGTCAAAGTGTCATAATCCTCTCAATGTAGAAAAACCGTTTCTTCTGCCCTTTTCCGTGAGAATTTTCATAATATGCAACAGGTATATTCAAACCTATGTTGGGGTTCGAGATTAATAAAAATATTGTATTCATTGCTTCTTAATGAACATAATTAGTTTATTAAATTTGGATATGTCCAAATCATGATGAATGCTTAAAGTGGACCGAAGCATAGAATACTTTGGCCACAAGCTTGCTATTAAGCCTTTTTGAGAAATTTCGGAAAAGTATGCAAGTAATGCGGATTCCGAATACTTTACTACCTGCTTTCTGGCGCACCATGCAACAAACTCATCACAGGTCTTTTGATAAAGCACTTTGCTTTTATCGGGAAATAAATTTAGTGAAGCCGCATTTGCTATTTGTTCTACTTCCGGAGGCGTTAAAGAATCAATGTCTAAACAATTCTCCATTTTGAATCTTGACTCAAACTAATTTTTGACATTTATTGAAATATGACATTTCAAGTACTGAGGTGTATATTTGGTTGCTTAAAATCGTGCATTAAGAGCCCTTATTAATAAACGATCACCGGAAAAAACAGGTTAACATTGTCTGGGGAAAAGTATTCTACTCGAGCATATGATATGCCCTGAGGTTTTCGAATGGATGTCGTTGTAAAAAATTCTTGAACCATTTTGAACCGGTACATTCTTTTATGGAATTGAAAGGATTTTTTATTTTATGTTGTTTGCACAGGCTAAAAGCAAGACGACAAACATGTTTCTTCGTTATTCCAAAATACTTTGTTTCCATTTTCATACAGTGCTGTGCTAAGTGATTCTCAAGGTCTGAAGTAAAAATTGGTTTCTTTCCCATTTTTGTTTCCATAACAAGCTGTTCTGGATCCCCATTCATTTTAACATATCTTCCTAGAGTTGTCTGGGGTACCCCAAATGACCGTGCGCTTTTTTTGTAACCCATTGTTTTTTCCCTACATGCTTTTATGGCTTTAACCATGGCAATTTTATCCCAACTTTTTCGTTTTGGCGGCATCTGTAAATGGAAAGACTATTTTGTTAGCATCTAGTCTTAATATGGGGTACCCCAAATTAAGCTTCAAGCGATACCCCATTTTAGGCATATTTACTACAGAAATAAATGTTTAAATGTTATATTGCACAAACTGCGCTTTCAACTGGGTTCACTTTATTATGCAATTATATCATGTCTACGAGCATATTCGCATATTGTGCTCCGTTCCTTTGCTACAAAAAGTTCACTTACCTTGATTTGAAAATCCACTCTCAAAGTTTCACACACCGTCACAAGTTTAATTCGAGGTTATTTTTTCAAACTATTCACTATAATGAAATCTGCAACTGGTTAGCTTTTCGATTAAGACTAACCGTTGGTATGACGTGACATTCATAGGTGGGGCTTTATACATGTAAGAAAAACGTACGTACCCCATATTAAGCCCATACCCCATTATAGGCGACTTTCCTCTACATTTGTAAAAGTTGGCTGATAGGAAAGCCATAGCTGTATCCTGTACCATGGCCGACTAGTATAAAGATTATGGCCTGTCCAAGAGGTACCATACGTGTTGGCATCTATTAATAATTACACTTAATAATTTAGTAAAATTTTAATTTGATTTGATATTATGAGATTTCAAAACGTGTAATGGTCGTTTGTTTCGGTATGAATGCCTTTGTGCCTTTCAAAAAGTGTTAATAATTCTTTTATCGTTTTTGAATTATTAATAGATGGCAGCACGTATGGTACCTTTGCATGGCCGACTCCATTAATCTCTAAAGAGATTAATGGAGTCGGCCATGACCTTTGAACAGGCCATAATCTGTATACTAGTCGGCCATGCCTGTACGTAAAATCCATAAAATCGGTAAGGTAATATTATCTTACCGATTTTGACATGTTAATTGTCAACGTTTGGCAAGGAATTGAAAAGCAATGGATGTGAAAACCAACAAATATAAATAGCTTTATTTATTCAAACAAATGCTTGACTAGCTGCATTTTTAACATTTTCGGGCAATACGTTGCCTAAATCCATATTTTTGTTTCAAAATTTGTTTACAATTTTTTTTTTTTAATGAATAACAAAATGTAACCACTGACCCTGCACAGTTTTTCCCAGCAGCAGCCATTTATAGAAAGATATTTGTAGCTGTCCTTCGTAATAGGTCTCAGGTGAATTTACAAACGTCTTCGGTACTTTGTAACTGTCTTATTTTTAGCGCAATGTTTCTAACACTAGGATGTCTGAATTCGGTTCCCAACCATGACTTGAAATTCCTATTGTGTAAAATTTTAAAAGCTTTTAACACCTGTTTCCCATGGCTGTCTAATTTTTCTCCCATTTCTAGGTGCATGCGATATTCCGCCACGACGCAGTGTTGAATTAGAGCCTTAAAATGCGGTATTTCAGATGGTGTTTCGATCTCACTAGTTTGCTCATTGACTCCGCAAGCTAAAATTATCGATTCAGCAAGAAGATTTTGATTTTTTGCTACCAATAAGTCGCTAAAACATTTGATGTTAGGATTCACCCACTAAACAAAATTCGGTAACAAAACCGTTTCTGTAATGAAACATTGAAACTATGAAACATTGGCTGTTTCACAACAGAAACGTATTTGTTAACTCAACAGAACACACATGTCCGCCGTAAGAAACGTTGCATATGTATACATAGATGATACGTATTCATATCGACATACGAGGAACGTTTCTTTGATGTAATGTTTGGGTAGGCTTTGGGACGTTGAAGATAACAAAAATTCTAAATTAGAAAATTTAATATATTTAACATAAAAAAATAAACAATATTCAAAATAGAAACTTCTATTCTAGGTACAATGTAGATAAAAAAAAACAAAAAAGTTCTTCACAAGTGAAACAGCAAAAATATTAGTTATTGAAACTGCTGCTCCGGGGCCTTTGCACACTCCCTGGAATATCTTAGGCCCGCTTGACGAAACCATAATTTAATAGTGTCTTCAAACAAAAAATCAGATAAATCAGTAAAGCGCTTTCGTACAGCAGCTAAAATTATAAGGTTAAGAAAATATTACGTTTTCAGATAAAATGTCACCTTTTAATGCTGCAACGCTTAGTAACTGATAAATGGGGTATTTCTGGTTCCTGCCTAACCATGAACATTTTACACTAAGTTTATTTGTAAACAATCGTCTCAAACCTGTTTTGATCATGTCTATTTTGGATGAATCCCCAAGCAAAAACAACAAAGCCTCCTAAAAATAAAATATGAGTAGATTAAAAACCATTCACATATAATACTTGCTAACTGTTGTTGATGACCCACATCGCATTCTAATACTTTTTCGTAGGCTAATAGTTTGCGAAACTTTTTAAAAGGTTCTTTAGACACTGTTTCAAAAGTTGTAACGGCTGTTATTAAGCTTTGATTTTGTAACGACTGTTTGATTTCTTTTTAACTAATTCCTTCACTTCAATTATCGCAGCATATATCTGGCATTCAGCTTCTACAAACATTATTTTTTAAAACATATCATCTAAAAAGTACCAACAATACGGGCATTACGGGAATTTAATGATGATGTTGAACTTGCGGTTATTGTTGATGCACTAACCACTGAATGACCTTCACCTTCGGCAGAAAGAAATGTACATACTTTGAACAAAATATCACAAATTTTATAAAAAAAATTACCATTCCCTGTTGCACTAGCTTGAACCAATAACCCAACGGGTTGTGTAACCAAATATTCGCCTTCTATTTCATTTTCGTTGTCGTTGCCTAGAAAATTGCAGGTACCAATTTAACTGTATTTATTCTATGCAGTTACTTTTTACTCACCTTCAGAAGCAGTAGTAACTTCATTTTGCGATGTTAAACATTGAATTTTAGGAGGTGGTGGAATGTCCTCCACAAAATTGGAATCTCTTTTTACCTTTAACTTTCTGCGGACCCGTCCCAACGGTCTCTCTATAACAACCCTTAACAATTAAGACGTCAAAATTAAAAAAAAAAAAATCATTATACCATTTTCTATATCTGTATTAGATTCATTTTCCACACGTCGTTCATATCTCCTGGTTTCGTCGTACGTATCTTAAAAAAAAACTGTATTAACAGATACTTTCGATGTGATTAGAAATCTTACCACACTGTTTGAGCACTCTTACTTCAAGGAAGTGCCATGTACTATCGGGCGAATAATACTTTTTTACCTTTTTTGATACGTCTTTATCTCCCTCTGGCCAATAGCAATAAAACTGATCTTCAATTTTTTTAATCCAGTTATTAGGGACCGACGCAACTGTATTAGTTGCAAGGAAATGTACAACCGACCATTGTTTCTCGGGCTGTAACAACATAAAATTTTTGTAGTATTAGACGCGACAAATCGTGGTTACTTACAAATTACGTAAAGAACACTTTAAAGCAACTAATAAAATTAGTCCAATATAAATAATAAATAAATCTGATATATAAAAAGTATAAATAAAACCTTATGTACATATATTAATTGAAATAATTGCTAACTATTATTTTACTTATGTAATTTCATTATTTTCATAATGTAAAATTATAATTAATATGTTTTCGTTGTCAAACGTATATTTTATACACTTCTGTTTAATATTCTCTATAGACAATTTTGTTAAGGAATGAGACATATCTTCTGCAACTACAAATATTGAAGACCCGATGCGAATTACATGGGTCAGTCTAATATTCTTTAATCGTTCGAAATTGTCTCCCAAAAACGAATATTCTGTTCGAACTAATTTCCTGACATATAAACTCAACAGCATAAAACATTCCATCGTTAGATAATACATAGTTATCTTTATTATTTACAATAATTTCAAATGTTTGAAAAAGTAGACGTTTATAAAAGGTTCCCTCAATGCACAGAGTGAAATTCGTCTCGGTTTCCTGTTGCAAAATTACTTTTTCATTATTAAAGATGTAGTTACTCCATTGTTCGTTACACCTATTAATCGCCTGTTTTAAGGGATGACGAGAAAATTTAATAGTTTTTTTCAGTTACAAATAATTTTCAAATTTGAAGGCACCAAAATCATCTAACGTTCCATGATTTTTACAATCGTGTACTAAATGAACTAAATTGTGCACATTATGTGTAATGTATTCGTTTCCGTATTAAATACCATAGTTTTCCACAAAATATTGTAACAACTCATTTGCATACTCAGAGTAATTTTTCAACAAATCAGGGGAACAAAGAATACGAATTGCACAATGCAAAGACATAAAATGTACATATTGTGAACGAGAAATACGGTTTTTAAATATCGTTGGTCCGGAATACAACAAAATTTGTCTAAATATTGTTGCTTTGAATCTGTCAACATCATGTAAGTCTCTAGGTAGGCGAGAAAATTCCTTAGGAACACATTGTCTAAAATTGTTGACTAAATCTGCAGACGCTGCTTCAAGGTCTATTTGTTTCATTCGTACATCTTTAGCGCCTTTAATCCAAAAAATTAACAACCGCTTAAAAACACCTAGGCACACCAAGTGCATGTAGTCTAGTGGCACTTGAGACACTAATCCAATGTTTAATCTTTCAAAAGGACTGTGGATGTTAACTTTATGGTAATTTTCGTCGACTTTGTTCTTAAAATTTTCATCTGTCCTAGGATTGTTACTAGTTTCAGGAAACGTCATTCTACTTTTAATTACTTCTCCTTCTTGCATGCACTTAGTACAACCGTGATACCCGGTGTGTTCATTTACTCCAAGAATGAAGCTTTGGCTGGTGCATCACATATTATTTTTGAAATTTTTGGAAAAAATTGTTCATTATTGATAGATAACCCGCGTAACTGTAAATCTTCTAACTCGTCAATAAACATATCCAAAAACATTAAAGAGTTTGGTTTGTTTAAACCATGGTATAATCCAGCCATGAAAGGTTTATTTAGAGCAGAATCTTTGGAATCTACTGACAATAAAATTGGCCAAAATTGGCTGCTAGAGCTCTTACATAATGGAAGACCGTCAATATTACAGGACAACGGTCTAATTCGATCAATAAAAAGATTCTCAGGGGAACTTATATTTTCAAAAATTTTCTTTATGCTATTTTCGACTCCGAGATGTCCATATTTTCCTCCAGATATATCAAAAATGTCTGATTTTGGCGTACGAATAACAGTCCTCACGTCTTTTGGAAACTGATGAAAGCCAAATTCACGACAAATTCCAATTCAATCGTTCATACACGTTTGTGTTAATAAGTGACGATATTTTAAAAGCCATATTTTTATCTTGTTTTCAAAATTCAATCTGCCCGTTCCAAAACTGTGAGATTTATTTGAATCAATTGATGTTTCTGCACTACCTGAGATCAATGAAGACTCAGCTAAATTATAATTTGTATAATCATGAACTGTTCTTCCTGCATTTAAGTGAACTATATTATTTGAATTTGCGTTTTCACAACAATGGGTATCACTTGCAGGTTTAGTATATTCAGTTCTATCCCTCTGAATATGAGGATTCGCTTCAATTTTGTTTAGAGAGTTAAATTTAGATTTTTCCCTTGCAACAATTCTTCTGATGTGTCGTTTCGTTTTAAAGTAAAATTTTCTATCCATATTTTCGATCTGTATATATTTTGTACTGTAAAAATACCGCACCCAAATACGTCAAACTGAAATTAATCTTATACGTACAATTGTACTTGTATTACTTGGAATTTGCAAACACCCGGTAAATTTTTTTGAGGTTATGCAATCAGTAGATATTGTGAAATAATTAAACAATATCGATATAAAAAAGCTACTTACCAAATAGCCAGTTTCGGATTGCCCAGCCATTTGACGAATGTGTGCAAGTAGGTAAGTAAAGCAAATAACTAAGTATAACTATAGTGAACCAAGAGCTATAAGGTTATATGGCCATCATAAAAGTAGTTGATCGCAAATAAATACCCCCTTTGTGTGGTTCACACTAAGCTTACCGGTTGGCAATAAATCATCTTCTAAACATTTCTTGCTCATATTTAACAGGGCCGGCTTTCAAAGCGAGTGGTTATTTCGGAACCCTCAGCGGCTGCAGGTAGTAAAGAAGTAGTGGAGTGGTGGATTTTCATATTTAGTGAAAGCCGCCCCTGAACGAAACCACAAGAGCCAGTCGAGCTGCAGTGGACACGTTATTTACGACCCTAAAACCTTTTCTATTGTAAACAACTTAACTTCGACACAATGGGATGATTTTATGATGGCCATATAACCTTATAACTCTTGGTTCACTATAATTGCACTCAAACTGTTTTTTCACTGCAGCACGTGCGAATCCCGCCATCCCGCGACTAACGGTGGCGCCCGCGCACTGTCCATACAGGTTATTTTAGTTTCCTAAAATACGATTTAGGGATGCGCCGAACCTGAATAAAAATCGATTCTTGTATCGATATTGAATCGAGAAAAAACATATCGATCTTATAAAAAATCGGATCTGAAAATATCGATATGCAAAAAATCGGCATACTTTAATCAACAAAATAGGAGTATATTTTTAATTTTTTTATTTAACACAAATAAAAAAATATAACATTAAACTGAACATTTCATTATGCATAACATAAAATAAACAAAATCACATTTTTTGAAACAAAAACAAAACTAACTTATAAGTCCCAGTATTTGTCATCCAATGACTGCAAAAAAAGTAGTTTGGACAATTTGTCACCGCTTAGTTTGCTTCTATTCGGCGTTTTTATCAGCCCAGCCAGTGAGAACAGTCTTTCTGATGGTACTGATGTCGCAACAATTCAGAGAAACCTATGGGCAGTACTCACCAATCGTTTTGTTATGTTTGCGTAGTTTTCCCAAAATTGAAACGGGTCATTGTTAAAGGGCACAACAGGCTGAGTTAGGTAATATTTGAAGTTATTCTCCAATGATGACCTTGAACTGTGTGGAATCTCATTTTGCTGAATTAATTGTTCATGAAAGATCCAAATACTCGGTGACTCAGTATTCTTTATCTTTTGTGGTAAGTGTGTCTCCGTTTCATGACCATTATCTTCAAACAAGCATTTATTTATATCAGAAGTAGCTTGAGCACAAGCTGTGGGTTTGTCAAAATGAATTTTTTTAAAACGAGGATCTAAAATTGTCGATATTGCCAGCAGTTTCACTTCTTCAATTTTACTAAATCGCTTTTCCATTTCCTTAATAATGTTGTGTTTCAGTAAAATTCCTTCTGAAGTCATTGGTAATAAAGTATTCAGCTTTTTTAAAACACAGTTAACCATCGGAATTACTTTGCTACTGGTTACATATCCCTGACCTGATATTTCTTTGGTAACTTCTTCAAATGGTTGAAGCAATATAATCAGTTCTTTTAGAATATCTATTTCTTCAGCAGACACTATTCTAGGAGCTTTTCTATGTCTTAGCAGAACCGGTGCTACATAATCTTTGACATTAATAAACCTTTCTATCATATAATATATGGAATTCCAACGCGTAGGGACCGACTGAATTAATTTGAGAAACTTATCTGCAGGCTGCATCTTCTTAAAGTCGTCATTAGCTGTAACGCTTTGTTTAAAAAATGTAATTATTGATTTAACTGCTTCAATTATGTTTTTAAGCGGTTCTTCACCAAGAGATTTCGTGACTACTAGGTTGATCGTATGAGCAAAGCAAGGGAGATGTTTGTTCTTACCAAATAAGTCAGTAACTGCTTTAACAATGTTAGCACCATTATCCGTTACGACCGCCGACACCTTTGATAAATCAATTTTCCATTCATCACAAATTCTTATTAAATATTCTGTCAAGTTATATGCTGTATGACTGCACTGTAACTCAGTCACTCCAATGTGTATGGAATGTAAAGCATGATTCATATAAAAGTGCACAGTAACGCCTAAAAAACTGGTTGTGGTGAGCATTTCCGTCCACACGTCTGTGGTTATTGTTATACACGGAGCTTTTGACAACACATTTTCCTTTAAAATACCTGACAAAACATCGTATTTTTCATTTATTAGTGTGGTTATTGCCCTACGACCAGGAACTTTATAGAAGGGTACAGTAATGTTCATTAAATATTGAAAGCCAGCTTTTTCGGTAGTCATTAATGGATAGTTATCTTTAACTATCATATACACAATGGCGTTGGTAATTTTAGCTGCTTTTACACCCCCCATCTACAAATTTGCGTTTATATATATGTACATACTACAATTATAAAATATGAAACTAATATTTCATACCTGCGAATGATTTTATTTGAGAAAATTTCGCAGCTATTGTAGGCTGCTTATGCTTTGTCGATAACCATAAATCGGAACTAGTGTCACTTGAGCTTTCATTAAATTCTACAATGTTGCAACTAGTTAAATAACTGGAACCATCAGGTGTACCTCGTAACGTAATCGTGGATGCTGTCGACAATGACTTATTTGGAGTGCATGGATCAGTCAGTTTTAGTTTATCTACGTTTGTGTCATGTTCCACAGAACTGTTGTCTTCATCCTATAAAGATAGGCAAAGTTACATTTTTTAAATTGTAAAAACTGTAAAATTACCAGTTGCGGTTTCTTACGCTTTTCAGTCAATTCAGTCTCTAAGGTTTCGTTACTCTTAAGAATGTCAATGTCCGGATGTTTTCTCTTAAGATGGTTTATTAAATTGGTACTGTTTCCTGACGTTTTTACATGTTGAAAACATAGTTTGCACTGCCCTCCTATTTTACTTGATGGGCTTGATTTTGGTGATTTAACAAAATATTTCCATACGTTGCTGCTCATTACTAGAACGAATAAAATTTGCTTTAACCTAGCCTAATTAAAAGCCAATAAATATAAAATGACGTAAATACTGGACAACAGTTAAAACTACTTACTTCTTCACTTTCTTTGACCAAATTAAAATAACATCATTACGCAGAGCACCAAAATTTGTTACAGGAATTTAACTGCTTTTAACGTACGAAATGTGAAATTTTTTAGTATAATGCGTAGTGCGCTGTAGATTCAGTTTTTGTTGGTACTCTATCACTGTCTAACCGAAGAAAAACCAGTGAGAGAGAGAGACATATACAGATTACAGTCAGATACTTTGTGGCCTGTGCTTTCCTTTGTGTTCATTAAGCAAAGCCACCAAAACGCAAGCGCAAGGTTGTCAATTGCCAACCATTCAGCAGCACCGCGTCAACAATACCAACACCGTAACAACAACAAAACTAAAAAACTGTCAACTGGCACTGAGTATGGTAATTTTTCAATTTTTTGAAACGAAAATTCTCGATCTCGTCCTTCTAGAATCGATCTGTTTAAAAATCGTGGCATTAAAAATCGATTCAAAAAATCGGAGATCGCTCCTTGAAATATCGATCCCGTAAAGAATCGATTCGAATCGCACATCCCTAATACGATTCAGACTGGGTACCAAATGAAACGTATTACAAATATCGTTTATGAAGCGTGTCTTAATAGTTTCAAATATTGTTTACAAATGTTACGTTTAAGAGATTTTTTGTAATGTTTCATTTACGTCTCTTGCTTAGTGGGCAGTGACTGTGATTGTAACAAATCTGTGCACCCCCATAAACATTCACTTGGCAATTAATAGTAGTTCCATATCTAGGACGGGCCAGTAACGCCACTATTCCTTCATTGACTGGAGTTTCTGCAACAGGTTAAAATTGAGAAGATTTTCATTAATGCGATTTCCTTTTAAATCTTCAAGAATCTGTTGGATAAATCCGCTCTATGTCTCGCCAACAATAAACAAATAGAATCTAAACTTACCTTTGTGCAATACTGCTGTGAAAGATAAATCAACTTTACCGTCTTTGAAAGATAGAAATGGAGTACATTATATGCGTTCCAAATGTATCCAAATGCGAAATTTCGCAATATCGAGGATTCTTAGATCACCAACCACATGCGGTATGCTATCGTCAGCAATTTCTGAAACTAAAACCAAACATACATATTAAGATGTTATTAAATTTGTGAGGAGAACGAGCGTAATACTGGAAAATCGCTATAGCGGTGTTATATATATGGGGTAAAATAGGGATAGTTGCCTCAGTTAATCAAAATATCAGCTTTTATTTTGTGAATGTAAAAGAAGGAGAAAATGTTTTCTAGTAGTTTATATATTTTGATAATAATTAATAATACAACATTTTATTTTTAAAAATCTCTCAATGTAGGTTTCTGCTAGCATTCATCTTCTCCCACTGCCACGGTATACGTTCCTCCTCTGTTGTGAAATAATGTGCAAACTTGTCTCTCAATTAATAAAGGCAACGTGCTGCATTATTTGCCCTCAATCATCTCACAGACCGCAAAAGCTAAATTTCTCGTCTCCATTCCCCATCTTCACAAAATTATGTTTGACCATGCATGTTTTGACTATTGTGTCAACAGTTTCCATAGAAGAATTTATATTATTATATAAAATTCTCCATCGCACTGCTAAAACCCCAAATGTATTTTTAGTACAGCGTCAGGCACGTGATAGCCTGTTGTCAAAAATACCTTGTGTAATGGTAAAATTAGATCCAGGAAATGGTCTCATAATGCACGACTTCATGGGATGCTTCATCAGCCACGAAAACATCATTTGCATTAGTACGCTGAATATTTAAATTACCATTTTCTGATACAATACCAAAAGCTGAATCTTTAAAGATCGTACTATCATTACCAAAATTGACTACTCTATAGATGGTGCCGATTTTTGCAAGCACCCATTATGCCCATGATTAATGCAACCCTCAAAAAATTTTATTAACTAGCAGTAATTAAAATGGTGGATGGTTTACCTTAGTTGCAAGATAAATTTCATCTGGGGCTTTAGCAATAAATTGAGTTATGTTATCTACAGCAAAGGTTTTGGCTTTTTTTGCATAATAACTATCACTTTTTCGTTTAAGAAAGGCTCGAAGCTTTGGATAACTTTCTGTGCTGACATTGTGGTTTAATTTAATGTACTTCTCAACATGGAATACCGTGACCACAGGGAAGACGATTTGTATTTGTCTGCCAGTTTTCCGAAATAAGCTAGTAAAACATTTTTCAATAAAGATTGTATAGTACTGTTTTTTCTCCAGTCCATAAACTGTTTGTGGACAAACTCATATTTCGATTTTGATTTTGGTGGCATAAACTTTTTGTGCAGGCTTCTGCGGCCTGCAACACCTCTGGCGGTGTCCATACCTCCACCATTTCGTCATCGCTCTCCATTTTTGAACAAATTCACCCAAAATTAAATTAAATACTTAATAGGACAAAATTCTATTTTGCTTTTTGATATAGTGTTATTGTTTTGTTTATTGTCATAGTTGTGGCATTTGAGATGCGACTGCGATTTAGGTGACAAAGTGAATAATGAAAAAGCCCTCACGTGATTGGTGGCATTACATGTGAATAATAATGGTAAGTTGCTCTGATTGGCTGGATGACCGTGAATAATGGAAGCTGTGGATAACGAGTATTGTTATTTAAGAGGAAATGCACCGCTACTGGGCATATTATTTGATAGTCGTAGAAAAACATAATTATTCAATCGTATTAGCAAGTACACTAGTGGGATTTCTGCTATTGAATATTTTTTATCATGCTCTCAATATCAGCACTAAGAGAAGTCGACCCAATTCGTAAGGTGTGTTCTAAATATTGGTCCGTGTAGGAAAATGGTAAGTATTTTCTGCACGTAATTGAGTTTCCCATAGTTGAAGTTTAGTTTGGAACGACTTGATGTGTGCAAACATCTCGTGCATAAATTTTGCCCTTTTTTATAAATTCACATTAAGGTCATCTAAGTACTCGGAAACGTCAACTAAAAATGCAAGTTCGGAGAGCCATACCTCGTCCGTTAACTGGCGAATTGACTTCCGTTTCATTTCCATGAAAATTTGGATTTCACTTTTCAAATTATAGAAGGGCTATAACATCTTCCCTCTACCCAGCCGGCGTATACTTCGGTATAATAAAGAACGTCACCATATTCTGACTCGAGATCTTCCAAAAAAAACCTCTTTCTTGGGTTCCTTCTATATTTTAAGAAAATGTAACTACTTAGGCAAATTGTTGCCAAACACGTTAACAAGTTCGTGTTCATGTTGATGATGACAGATGACGTTTTGTTGATAGGTATACTCAGGATCACGAAGCAATGCGTACACGTCATGGACTCAAAATGACGTCATGCGTCTACCACGTTTATCACACAAATGAATCGGTTTGAACTGTCAACAAACATGTCGGCTTGTTATTGTTTTGGTTTGTTCTATTTATGATTATAGCATGAGAAGAACGTTAGTGTGAAGCAACAGTTAAGAAATAAGCTACACGTGCAGTGTTTGAGCACACAAGGGCATGCAGTACGCTGCATAGGTACTGTAAATTACAAACACAGGCACAGGAAAGATCATGACTGTAACCCCTTTCACGTGTTCCTAGTCACTGAAGCCCGCCACTCACGTTCCAACGCCGCAGTTGTGTTGGATATGACGAAATTGAAGTGTTTTTGAACGTCTGTATGCGATCAAGCAAATCAGTTGGATGTGGACGGTTGGTAAACAAGTCTGTCTGCAGCAGTACAATCGTGTTCTATTGGATGGCAATTTGATCTTGTGTGGACAGTGTACGTTATACAAACCGTGAAAGCAGGTATAAAAGTTCACTTTCTTCGGACATGTTGCCACCACGTTCGCAAATTTTTAACTGCAAGGTCGTAACGTGTGTTTACTGCTGCTTTTCAGCAGAATAGTACAGCAGTTGTATCCAGTACAATCCTACTGCGGCGTTGGAACGTGAATGACCAGCTTTAGGAACGTTCATTATTTCACACATTATTCACATCTACAGAATAAGTTACTTTATATACAACCGTGGGATATATCTTATAAATCGCACTCACTGGGACAACGTAATGTTTGAGATTATCGCACGCGTGCGATAATTTTTAGATAACCGCACGCGTGCGATAATATGTCAAATCGGACACACATCCATGAATACAAAAGAATCAAAGAGACCTGCTATTTATTATTGTTATATATATACATTGATAATACAACTCTTACAGTGAAACAAATTAATGTCATCAGATTCAGTTGATAATTGTGGGGTCGTTGACGACGAACTAATGTAGGAAGTGTTTTCATTGCACCATTTTGCATATCGTTCAAACGCCAGCTGATATTTTTCGCGTGATTTCTGAGGAACAAGACCAGAAATAACATCCAAAGCAACTAAAGGCAGATCTTCTGAAGCACTCATTCTGATGATTTAGTAACAAAATATTCAAAACCAAAATTTGTTTACTGTTTACACTGTTGCTAAGTACGTTGCCATCATTTTGAACAATGAGATGCAGCTGCTTCTTTTAATTAATATTCACAACATTTTGATCGAGAGTTGTTAGTCCATGATTGAAAGCAGCAAAAATGTTTTATTTATAAAAAATTCAACAGTTGTACATAAAATTTTGTACACAATTCGTGGGATACACTACTATCGCACTTACATGGTTACGCAAAACTCGGGCTGACGCCCTCGTTTGCGCAATTTCCATGTGCGTGCGATAATAATGTGTGTATCCCACTTATTGCGTAAATAACTATTATTGACATGGAATAGATACAAAAGTAAAGTATAAATAATAATAAGTAGGTGTCTTCGTCTGACCAGTGATCTGTATATTTGGCCAGTGAAGTGATAGTGTGATTATAAAAGACATCAGCAGAACATGCCGTTAGTGCAATCAATTAGGATGGTAATGGAAAATAACCTACATATTACAGTGGCTGAATGCCCTCTGCAGTATTATCATCTTCACTGTCATAATCACTAAAACTATAATCTGAATCTTCGTTAATGTCGATTATGAGCGGCGCAATCTCTTCACGGTCAAATAATAATTCCCGTTCCCACCACTCCTGTATTATTTTATTCGTATGGTCAACAGTATTTTTCCACATTGTGGGCGTGACATGTGCTAACGCTTCTTTCCACATTGCCACTGCATTTTTCTGACCATAACCCTCACGCCCAATGTGTTTGGAATAATAACTTTTAGCAATTCCCCAAATATTTTCAATAGGGTTAAACACACAATGATATGGCGGCAATCGTAATACTCTATGGCCATACTGGTGGGCCAATTCATCGGCAACATACGTTTTTGGAGGTTTGTTTCTGAAAAACATAACATTTTAAATGAAACTATAGAGAATAGTATATGCATTACTGTGCAACCAAATGAAGAAGTTCCGTTTTTAACAGCTGTGGATCTGAACTTATGTCATGTTGTTCAAGCCATTCACGAATTTCTGCTTTTTTCCATGAACCATTGGGACATTTGTTTGCAAGGGTACTGTGGTAGCTAGCATTGTCCATAATAATCAGTGATGGTTCCTCGAGCTTCATAAGCAATTGATTTTCAAACCACTTGAGAAAATTCTGTTGATTCATTTCGCCATGATAGTCTGGATTTTTGGTATTAGAAGAAAATACCAGCGCTGCTTCATCAATAAATCCATTGCTTGTACCTGCATGTAATACAATATACCTAAAATATAATGAGACAAATAAATAACTAACATGAAACTGACACATTACTACCTTTTCCCTTCTATTTTGAACGTCCTGATACTTTTGACACTATCATCTTGCCATGACCTAACTACCGAACCATTTTCAAATATCCATGTTTCATCAAGATATACACATTGCAAAGGATTTGGGTTCTGCTGATTGTGCACGTATTCACGTAAGAATTTGGTTCTTGCATGAACAACATGTTGTAATTCCATAAGACGCTTCCGTACATTTGTTGGAGAATAACGAAACCCAATAGAATGTAAAATTCTTCCCAATGAGCTCACAGAACCCTCAAATATATGTTTCTCCTTCAAGCAGTCAAGTAATGATGATCGTGTAACATGTATTTCTGTAAAATAATCGTTAGTATCTATAAGGCGTGCGCATCAAATTCATACTTTTTTCGACCATTCCATATAAACATTCTCGAATAGCACACTGCTCCGAAGTGCTAATATCACACACCGGCTTTTTTCGGGGTCTCTTTTTCTTGGGAGAATGTACACCTTCTCCGATTTTTATTTGCTGTACCACGGAGTTCACTGTTCTCACACATACACCGAGAGCAGCAGCAACCCTCTGCACAATGTAACTGCATTTGTAACTATAATAAAATACACCTACTTACGTCTTGAACAGCTGTTAGTGGTAAAAGAGGTCCCCCGTTATGGCGTTCTTTAGCAAAATAGTCCACTAAATTAGCGACCATTTGCTTTGCATCTTTGTGCAAGGGCTTCGGCATGATGGAATGTTTACGTTCAAGCAAGC